ATTAGCAATTAGGAGGAACTGAATCATTTACACAAAATATGTATGTGAAATAAATGTACTAAAATTATTCTGTTCGCGTATGTCAACAGAACAGTTATCGCGGAGATATTATGAAATAGTTTTTAATATTTGAATGGCAACCAATATCTCATTCATACACCTTTAGTCTAATTCTGTTCCCTCGGTTTTCAAGAAAAGGTTTCCATTTTTTTAGAATTTGCCACAAAATTGACAATAAACGACTGAATGTAGTATCAGACTTTTGAATCAACAGAAGTTAACTCAAAAGCTTACTTTAAGCAAATATTTATTACGATTATCTCCTTCTCCATCGTTTCGACTACTCGTTTATTTTCTAAATTCTGAAAAGCTTTGAAAGCGTTACTTCTATATGATTTTTTCCAAGTCATATTTTTATCCTAGGTGTTCTGCTGGCATGAAAAGTGGGATTCAAAAACATTTTGATGAAACAATTTAGAACTTTCCTTAAATTTATTACAGTGGCATCAACAACTGTGGTCACTAACAACTACTTTAAATTTAGAACTTATTAAGTAATTCTTTTAAAATTCATTTAAATGCGATTGATTTAGATGATGATTTTCACCATCTTCTTCCAGTTTTGTCTCAAAGTTCGCAGCTTTCCAGCACGAGCAGACAGTTTCTCGTGGGCCTAGCATGTATGTTATTATGTTGTTATGTTAGCAAAGTCAAGACCAGACTTGACAAGGCTGTCGAAACCTGTTTTCCGTCAGCTGAACGTGGTGTTCTCTCAAGCAAAGATTTCAAGAATATTTTTAGTTTCCAACAAACGATCACAACACACAAAGTATATTTGTATCCTTTGTAATTGTTTCAGATGATTTAGTTTGTTGTGATCTCCAGAATAACAGACTTTCACTTTTGAACTTTCCATAATTAAGTTTTTATATTTTTTACAAAAAATTAACGTCTTAATGTAAGCATGAATTCAGAGTTGATATTTATCATTTGTCACATGGTCTTGCTTTCTTGGCACTATATGCAATTAAATTTACATTGTATTTTTTACAAGAGGTTCAGCTGCAATTCTAATTCCATTTACTGCAAGTTGTTTCAGTACGTTTATCTATAATTTGTTTTATCTTAGATTATGTTAATTTTATCGTTTTTTATACATTTTTATATTTTTTATAACTTTATGTAAAATAATCTTTCCCTAAATTCCTTGTTTCTTTGTTATGAGAAAGCCAAGTAAGCTGTCTCCAAAGAAAAAAATGGGAAATTACTACATTAATAGAATTTGAAACTTTTTCACAACGTCGTTTCTTGAATGGTTCGTTTCTAAGAAATTAGTAGCAAACATTACAGAATGGCACAATTTATGGTGGTCACATTAATATGATCATGGTCTGTTATTATCATCGCTCTATTATATTGAAATTGTTCAATAAAAAAATGAAATTAGTCATTAGTTTTAGTAAACTTCTGGAATTACATGAAAATATTTTGGGTAGGGACGGTCCATTCACTCCAGCGATGCTGTGCTTAAGAGTTAGCGTTGTGAACATAATACTGAATGTTAAAGTTAGAAATAATTAACATTCACATTTTTCCGTATTCAAATATATAGTTTGTTAACTGTGACTCTACGATTTAAAAGTAACATTAAAATGATTAGTGACATTTTGACAGAATGTTAGCATCAAAAGCAAATTGGGCGCGCGCGCGTGTGCGTGTGGGTGTTTACGTACTTGCAAGGCTTAGCCATGCGACAGCTCTCCCGAGGTAATCGCTCCCGCCGACTGCCGTCGACTGAGAGGTTTGGCTCGCGCGCTCGCATGTGGGTGAATCAAGGCCATACAGACAAAACGTGTGATTGGCCAGCGGTACGCGACGCCACAGCGACCTTCGCGTCACGTCCTGACGCGGCTGATGCGACGGCGACGCATGCGCCGGTGTGAAGTTGCCGAAATTCCCCATTTCTACAAAATAACATAATCGGTACCCATGGACTTACCGCCTCAACAAATCGGTGCCCCTAACAACACGTAATACGATGTTTACGTGAATCAGGATACTATATTTTTATTAATTTTTATTAGACGCCTTTTTATTTTTTATCCCTTCATTTTTGTGTGAATATGTGTAGCTACTAAGTTATTGTTTGTCATTTTGTTGATAATGAAATATTGATTGACGCCAAGCGAAAACGGTGTTAGTGGAAGGGGAGTTATGAAATATGAAGAATATTAAGCATATATTTTTAAATTAAAAGAAACAAAAATTTGAGAATAAGAAATTACTTGTGAGAAAAAAGAATATAATTCCCGTTTGTTTCATGTCTTAAAAGCTTTCCTGCTTTTCAAACTTATTATCCGCCCTGGTTACGTTCTAAAATGTTAATCAATTTGAAACTAAGTTTTAAATTATGCGTTGACCGCAACAATTTAAACTTAATGTCATCTCGAACCATCTTTAGTTCCTTATAGAAACAAAACTTGACTGAATCTCAAGTGGCATAGTTTACGTAAGAGACAACGCCCTGTCAGAACAAAACCACATATCAGTTAATGACCATTTATTATCATAGTTTCAACGATACAAAAAATCAATTTGATGGAGAAAACTTTCTTGTAACAGGTACAGCCCATGTTGGACTATTTTCCCACAACATCATCATCAGAACTGAGACATTTGTAACTGTAAAATCGCCATTTGTATCCCTGTCGTAGAAGTCTGCTGCTTAAAATAATCACTAGTTTTTGACAGATATCTGCAATCATACGTTACTGTGGTATGTGTAATGCTGGCCGGACGTGGTATGTGTAATGCTGACCGAACAGGAATTATTTGACGAGATAGAAGAAAAGGAAATCGATTGCGATCTAGAATATAGAGGACGTGTGTACACGGCTCCGTTTACAACAACTCCGTTTACAACAGTTCCTCTGGGAGGTGGTGATACAACTCCTGTAAATATTTTTCTTTCCGTCATTAGAGATACGTAAATGATAAGTGAAATATGACGTTTATTTAAATTAAAAGAGGTACAGGAAGAGGATTCGCTGGAGGGGTTTTGAAATTTGTGCGCTAAATAGTATAAAGAAGCTATTTTATTTGTGAAGAATACAGAGTGATTCAGTCCTCGTGGCTCATACAGGACCGTGAGATAGAATATACTAAGTTATTAATGTGTGCAAATGAAAATAGTGATCCCTATTCAAAATGTTGGAAAAGTTTTTTTTTTTTTCATTGGTCATTCTTTGCACAAAGGTGTCTAAATATTACATTAAATTTGGATCCATGATCCTAATTAATCCGTCATCCTACTTATTTAATGAATATTAAAGGAGAGAGTAAAAACTATTCATTATGTGTTATTTAGGATACGTTTTTGTTATTGGCATCTACAGTCAAAATTTTGCATTTCCGCCTCGTGTAACAGGGGCTCTGTAACTGTTGAAAATGACCTCCTCTTGTGTGAACGCAAGCGCTGCATCTGTGGCATGCGGCCTTCCTGACGCGCACAATTCTTCCGGGTCGTCCCTTTATTTTTGCCGCCACACTTTCAATGCGTGGAAGGCCATCAGGATTCACGGCTTCTGTAGTATAAACGCTGTCTTTCATTAACCCCGAGAAAAAAAATAGTCCAGCAGATTCAAATCTGGAGACCGAGGCGACCGTGCTATTGGGCCTCCTTGTAAGAACCACATATCTGAAAATTGCTTATTCTTCTTCTTCCTACTTTTATTTTAGGCTAGAGCCTGTTTCTTTACAAAGGATACTTAATTAAAATTTAAAAAACTGATAAATTACATTTATTTAGTTATTTTTATAAATTGGTACTATATTCATGCTGTCTTGTTTCACAAAATGTCTTTCCACCTAGTTCTTGGACGTCCTACTCTTCTCCTTCTTTCCGGTCTTCAATCTCTAGTCACTTTCACCAGTCTGTCTTCTTCCATTCTGTCTAAATGTTCGTTCCAGTTCTTTCTTCTTTCTCGAACCCAGTCTGAGATTATATCTATTTGGCAAGCCTGTCTTATATTAATATTAGGTTCTTTATCCCTTATCGTTTTATTTGTAATTTTTCTCAGCACCCGCATTTCCGACAATTCCATCATTTGGCATATTTCTTTTGAATCTGCTCTCGTTTCAGCTGCTTATGACAATACTGGCCTAATTACTGCCTTATATATTCTAATTTTAGTTTCTTTTTTTAGAAATCGGTTTTGCCATATCGAGTGGTTGAGACAGCCTGCTGAAAATTGCTTATCTAGGTATTCCCGAACTCGGCGATGATTGTTAAGCTCATGCTGGTATCACATCTGTGCTGGCACGTTCAACGGGACGTCCTCCCAAAACGTACAGAGTTATAAAATTCAAGCTCTATTGAACGCTTCTCAAACACTCGGGTAAGAGGAGAGGGGCGATGATAAATTCACCCACAATGCCGATAGAGAATCACTCTTTGTGAGATAAGCTACGTGCAACATGTGAATTTTCCTCGGGCCAGTGTTTTTGCGCAAAAAATACCTCGAGAATTCAGAACGACTTTGTAAGTCTGCACTGCGTAAATGTTGCACCCGTTGGAAAAGGAAAGGTCGTAATCTCTCCGCATGAATGGTTCGCCAGGTGACTGTGTTGCGTTGACCTCACGCACTGTTTACCTTGCGCTCGCTTCCGGGACTTAGCGGATAGTATTGATATATATAACACAGTTTCCCAGAGAAGTCGAGCCCTAACGCTCACTTCCCATAGCCCGTGTTAACCGAGCACAAGCTCATAGTCCAAAGTATGTTAATTTTTTACACAACTAAACGACGAACATTATCCAAATTTGACAAATTCTTGTATATTACATATGTGATATGTCTCCGGCCTATAATAATAATAATAATAATAATAATAATAATAATAATAATAATAAATCGGTAAAACCCGGTGTAAATTCGTTTCGAAGTGCAAAATACTTCATAGCGGAACCTTGAACCATGAGGCTCTGAAGTGTGCGTTACAGCTTTGTAGTGTGATTGGCCATTTGATAGTTTCAATATAAAAAACACTTACGAGAGTAGTGGAATATAGTCAAAGCATAAACAAAGCAGGTATCGATAGACGATTGACTAATCAGAAAGGCGGAAGTGTCGCTCGTGAATAAGAGATGAGTTTTCGAATAATACTGCGCATGGAAGAACAATTGAGCCGCGCGAGGTATGAACTGTCGGGGGAGATGCTAGCAAAATTTAGTAGGGGTTGGAGGCACTATAGAGAAGTTCTCGAACATGCTAATACGTGTAGGTTAAGAGAATTGCTATCTTTGGTTGTGAGAAGAGGTAAAACGAAGAAATCAGATATAAGTGTGTCGTTAACTGCGAAGGAACGTAAATGTCAATCGGCGAAAGAATATTTTTAAATGAAGTAAAAGATACAAACTAGTATGCATCAAGTCCGACGATGTATTGGAGGATGCTGAGTGACGACCGGGGGTCGTCCGGATAACAACGTACAAGCAGGTGGTGAACCGAAAAGGGAAGTGAGCAATAGACATTAATTATTCTGACGTGTAGAAAGACCAAGAACTGTCATTAGATTAAAATTCTTGAAGCTAGCACATTAAAGTAACATGGCCATGAGTGTATAAGGAAAGTGTGTGTATGCGTGTATATAGAGTACAAATGGGGAAGCTGAATGAAAAAGACTTTTTTGTGTTCTTGTTTATTGTTCTTTTTATTGTCGTGAAACCAATTGTAGGTGCATTGTGTAAGCAGATGTCAGATTATAGACGCTTGGGTTTAAAGGATGAATATGTTTCATTTCACAAAGTTACATAGAATTCCTATTCAAAGATCACAAGAATATTATAATCCCTTACGTAAGATTTCGGCGCCGTGATTTCGTACAAACGCTGTCGGCCAACAAATAAATAAATAAACATTCTTTCATGACTGACGGCTGCGATTAAATTGCACAGAAAATCGAACAGTCCTCTTAAATAATATTTTTTTATGATAATTAGAATAAATGCCTATTTTTCATATTTTAAAATGCAACTAGAATCAGATTTAGTGATATTTAAAAGTAAACAAAGGTGATAAAATGTTCAACAGGAATATTGGAATGAGTCAGGCTACTGTTATGGAAAGACGGACGTGAAATGCATAACTCAAATGTTTTTTTCCAGGCAGAGAATGAGCCCTAATTTTCGTATTTTTTTAAAAATCATTTTAATTACGAATTTTTCGTATAAATTGTATAAAAGTAGGCGTATGTGAATGTAATATAATGCATGACTGTAATATATGACAATCTTAAAACAAGATTTAAATTAAAACTCATAGTAATTGAGTCGGATTAACTGTACGTTATTTTCTGCTCCATTCTTCCACGATATAGAAGATAAGAATTAATGTTATTTTAGGAACTTGAAATGGCCCTTGTTTGATGTTTTAATTAAATTTTGGGTTTCACCATTTTCAAATATAATGTATAGGTGCACATAAAATATAGTAGTTCATCAAATAATTTGATAACTTGAATATTTGGTAAAATGGTATTGTTACGTTTCCTTGCACTGGATTTAGACCAATTTAAACAAATTCAAATAGCTTAAAACTTGCACATGTGGGAATACACTCTTATTTACATTTTCACAATGTAAGTTTTCTTGTGTTTTTAGTGAGTTTTATAAAGGCATTTAATTGAACTATCACGAATAATTATTAATTACATTACATTCATTACATTAATTATTATTCACATTTAACACTTCACAGTTGTCGAGGTGATAGTTCACACCAGAATCCTCCACGTACCATAAAGTTCAAGCCGGGCAGATATTCCATGGGATATTTTGTCTTCGGGTGCAGGTTGAAATTGTATAACAAATGCACCAAGGCCAACTTCACTTCCATCAATGCCAATCTTTGACCTGCAAGTTAATAGAAACACAATCATGTAGTCTTTTTTGCTTAGAATAAAATATTAAAACATTCAACTTCATTGCTTCTGTTTAAGTTCTAGACTGCGAAAAAATTGAAAATATTCAAATAGATCTTTCATTTAAAGTTTGTATATAATTTTGAATACGAAGTTCAACTAGTGGTTTATATTTACTAGTTTTCATTTAATATTTCATAAAATGACCATTCTTAGAAAATGTGTTATTATTCATGTCTGGATTTCTAGAAAACATCACTCCAGTGAAATGGAGGTGAATAATTTTGCTGAATGTATATATTTTTTACTGCATTTACAATGAATATTACCGAAGAATAAGTAGGAAAGAAAATAAAGAGTATTGCAATAACCTTAAGACTTTACTATCATTTTGCACATAGGTAAACTATAATAGTTTCCAAAAATGTATTAAATATCTATTATAATAAATTTAATAAATAAATATTAATAGTATAGGCCGTCGATGACTGCTTGGTTATCGTGCTCGTTTTTCACGGCTTAACCCCGCATTCGATTTCCGTCCGGGGCAAAATAATAACTGTGTGCTTTCCTTAAAAATATCCCAGAACCTATCGTTGTATGAGAAATCCCACCTTCTTGTTATGAAGACTAGCATACACGATGAAGAGATATCTTCATGCTAACCATACGAACCCCTTATCCCATGGCTGGGTCACCGCAAATCGGCCAAGGCCCACAGCGGGCTGTCGAGCCTAGGACAGGACATACGAGTATTTTTTACGTAAATATTTCGAGGCAGAGAAGCACAACGGCGGGACAATTACTTCTCGACAATGTTGTGTGTAGAGTTACAGCTGCATTATAGATAGGTCCGATAACAGGAATAGAGAACGAAGCTTCCTGGAGCTGTTGCATGCAAGTTTTAACGCGGTTGGGAAGGCGATAAAATTCGGCTTAGGCGAAGATTATGGACATGATATCAAGATGTGTCGTCGCTTATTGGTAATGTTAATGCTTTGAGATTTCATTTATCTGGCATGTAGTTTGTACCATGCGAGAAGTAATGTGCGACAACAGCGCATCGAACTCTCAAAGTCGCTTATACGCTGCCGGTACTACAAGAAGGTGTCACCCCGTAGGTCCATCTCGGCTGCACCCCACGAGGATTCAGAAGAAAGTAAAAGGTTTGAAATTTGAGATTCCAGGGCACTGCCATCAAAGTGAGACAGTAATTCGCAGTGTACAAATGCTGAGAAAATTTATTTTGATTGTGATCTTACCTATGCAAATACGAGGGCCCACTCCAAAGGGCATGAAAGTAAAAGCCTTCGTGCTGAGGACGTTCTGAGCTGAATGGAATCGCTCGGGATCAAACTTCTCAGGCTCTGGCCAGTACTGGGGGTCGTGATGAAATCCTATTATAGGAATGGATATGACATCCCCTTTGCGCACCGTTATGGGAGGCGAACTGGGCCCGCCAGGCAGCTGGATGTCTTTCCCACAAATGCGATCAGTGGCCACTTGAGGCGGGTACAACCGCAAGGCCTCTGAAAAAAAGAGTTGATTACGTTCATTAATACAATTGAATAATAATAATAATAATAATAATAATAATAAAATAATTATAATAAAATAATTAAATAATAATTATAATTAAATATTATTATTATTTTTATTATTATTGATATTTTTATTATTATTGATATTTTTATTATTATTATTATTATTATTATTATTATTATTATTATTGATATTATTATTATTATTATTGATATTATTATTATTATTATTGATATTATTATTATTATTATTATTGATATTATTATTATTATTATTATTAATATTATTATAGAATTTCGTCGATTGTAGTCATAATAGAAGTTTTCATAGAGTAATACGTAGTAACACTCCGAAATACTACGAAGTAAAGAAATATTTGTAATGAATAAAAATATGTGTTTATACTACTTTAGTATTTTAGAATTTTTTGAAACCCCTTTTGAATTATAGAAAGTAAGATTTATTAAATAAGGCACAAGGCAATAAAACACAAAATCTTTGTGTCAAATACTCAATTGTTTCGTTTCATTTATATTAGTACTACAATCCCGTACTCTTTCCGCCTGTCAGGGTTTGTAAATCCGATAAAAGAAAGTTAATCATCCATTTCTTCCGAATGTTCAGTATCGAGGCCAGAAAACTACAACTTTCTGTAATGTGTATCTACATATCAAAACAGTGGACAAAATTAGTTTTTCGGCCACCTATTATACAATTTTACTTGAACTTCACTTGTGTATTTCTAACAGTGTTCTTGACAATGAGAGCACAAAACTGAAGCCAAAATTAAAAGTTGGTTTTCATTTTATTATATTAATGACTTTCCCCTTTTAACCTCTAGAAAGTTTCAAATAAGTATATAAATTCTCCCATTTACTATCCTTGGGTAAAAAGGAGTGCACACTACATATTATTTTCCTCTTTTAAATGTTCAATTTAAAATAATAAAGTAATTTAAGTAATAAAAGGCAGTAATTAAATAAATGTACCATATATGACTGCGTCCATATACTTCATTTTCTGAACGGTTTCGTAAGAAGGCTTTCGTCCACTTCCATCCATTACATCGTCTATTTCTTCTTGCACACGCTTCTGTATCTCTTCATGGTGTGACAGAAGATACGTCACGATGCAAATAGCTGTAGAAACAGGCTCAAATCCAGCAAAGAAGAAGATAATCGCCTGGGCTGACATGTCATTGTTATCAAGTTCTGAAAAAGAACAAGACCCTTGTAATTACATAATTCCCTTAGAGTATTTGACGGAGACAGAGCCGGGGACAGTTTAATCTGATGAAACGTTGCATAGAGTGTGGTGGAGAGTACTTCGAGAAGATGTAAAGGCAAGGACTTGTTATCTCGAGTTTAAAAATATTATAACCAAAACCTTTGGAGTGACTCACGTATGGTTCGCACCTGCATTCAACCCCCCCCCCATCTAGCGCAACTGCATTAAATAAGAATCAACAGGGAAAAAACAACAAACTGCATATTATTATTATTATCATTATTATTATTGTGTAGAGCATGGTAGTCATCAAATCACGTGTATAATTTATTAAAATCATTTTAAATTATATTACATTATCGTAAAAATATCTTAAATTGTAATATTTGTAAATTATAGTGTTCTGCCACCAGGCTGCAAAAACCTGCGAAATAATAAACATCTAACTTACTGGCCTTTTTGGAATCTACTCCCCAGACTTCCACAGCATCCTGCTGGTCCGCCTTGAGCTGCCGTACAATTATGTGAAAGTGTATGAAGATAATGTGAGAGAACTTACTGGTCTTCTTGGCGCCCACTTCCTCCGCTTCCGATGCGTCTTCTTTCTCCGCCTTGAGCTGCCCTTCGCGCGCCTGCATGAGCAGCTGCAGCATGTCGGGACGGAAGATGCCCTTCTGCTGGCGCTCCTTGATTGTAGCGTGCACCAGTGAGTCGAAGAAGTCACACGCTTTGCCATTCAGCATTCTAATTTTCAGCATCTGCGCCAAGAGCAATTTCAAAATTGTTTATCTGATTTTGAGATAAAAGTTTGTTAAATAGTGTTATGTTTTCATGTACACTTTGGAAAGCGCTATTACTTCAAATATTTATAATAACATTTATTTATTTCCTGTGAAACCCGGATTTCAAACTTTATCTGACGGATTATGCAATCGAATCTGCACAAAAAATTTCCGAGTTGAATTTGCCCTTAAATAATAACTAACACATTTTAATAAAATAATAATTGCCCCTTATTATTTTATTATAAAAAACTGCTGCAAGAGAGAAATTCATCGCAAACGGAAGTATTGGCTCTCGGCCTAAGAGTTACACCACCACCAGCTCAACTACATAACAGTTGTATCTTATCACCGCCACCATCTCGACGTTCAACGACAATAAACTTCTCAAATATTTGTGTGGAATTGTTGCAAAAATTTCAATTAAGCTTTACGGATTTCTTAAAAAGAAATACATCGATACATTGAGAATACAAATTGAGTAAAAGTAAGAAGATGAAAGTAAAAACAGTGCGGGTTAATAGTTAGTAAGTGCGAGAAAGAAAAATTGCCCAAATTCGCCAAGATTTTCGTGGAGATTTTCTCCACGGAAAGTGAACCACCGTCACAAGACCAGCGACGAGCGCGCGCGCGCGCCGACAAATCTACGGATGTCACATCGATGACGATGTTTTGAAAACATCGTTGCATTTATAACATCATCGATGGATTTAACACCGATTATTCTTAAGTCAATAACATTTAACATAGATGTTCTGTTTTTGGTGTCTGATATTTTATTTTTTGATTAAAAATACCTTCATAATAAAAACTTGTGACAAAAAAATTGACAAATATCCATAATTTAAACTTTCTTTACACCAATTTGATGAAGGGTGAAAAATAATATAGGAATACCTCGAACATCTATCAATGAATAAGGTATCCCATCAGATATTAAAAGTTTTTTTTTAATCTCCTGATTATTTATTCACTAGGTTTGTAAACTAAACCTCAATGAAAAATTAATAAAGTCTCCTGAAATTAAATCCTCTCATGTGAATGTAAAATGGTCGATTATTTCGGAGCCACGCTTCATGAACATCGATGTTTGAACATCTGTGTTTAGAAACATGTTGTTGGTGAGGTCGCATCCCTAGACGCAACCGTGGACAGTTGTTTCCTGAAGATTAGATAAAGCTCGGTTGGTGGAGGCCATTCAAAGAACGTTCCATGTTTTCCTTATCGTTGAAACTCCATTTTATTTGAGATATTTTTTTCTTTGTCAAGAAACAGTACTGTTGTAGTTTCTTTTGGGACCTGGCGTGAAATCCGTATCACTGCGCGTATATTCGGGCTCTTCAATTTCAGTGTGACCAGTTGACTCATTCTTTGCAATTCTTCACTCTCTTTTTCCAGAATGTCCTGTTTCCAATATTTCGAAACTAAATCTCTACATCAATACAGTAAACGTCAATTTTCACATGACATATATCGACATCGTCGACAATATTATCTGGAGAAGGCTGTATAATGTGCTCTTCATTTCGACGGTCCATTTCCAACAACTCTCGTGTGGCACACGGTTTGCGTAGAAAGAAACACGTAACGTCAGGGATGACATATTGCGCGTAATTCCGCCAATTCGACGGAAAAATGGTTACGACTTGCGGGAAAAAATGTGCTTTGCTGGATTCCTCCCAATGCGCGGAATTTGTTGCTTACCGGGAGGATTTTGGGTGATGAGGTGCACTTTTGGCTTAAATCGTTAGTAGTACCCTCATTTTCCTTACAATTATACAAATATTGATGTCTTTTGAAAGATATGCCCTACCCACAAAAGTTTTAGTTCTGAACCTACAATGTGCAACTATTGCAAAAGATGTCAGATCCCGCTTTGTTTTGTAAACAGGCATGTACTCATAAGACTTGTTTAATTGACTATTCAATAAGATATTCCTTTTTTAAAAATTTTGCAAATATTGATGATCTAAGACAGGTAGACCCAAGTGTCAGAGATCGCTTTTTTCATCGCTCACCATTTTTCACCACTCATTTCTTTGGCGCACTTCATGTGTAACAGTTTTTATGTGTGAAGTACCTGCATTAACTTCGGGAAGATCATAAATCCCAGAAACTTCATAGTTGTTAGTACATTGAACATCGTCAATGCTTTTCCCATTTGAAAAAATTCGTTCTCAGGCTGCTTCAGAGAGTCACAGCTCACTCCAAATGCAACAGTAGCAATCACATCCGTGCCCATTCGGGTGAATAAATTCTTCATGTCGGTGGGAAACGGTTTCTCCTCAGCACCTGCGAAAAGGAGAATGTTATTAATATTAATTCTGTTTAATAGATTAATATACGGCATGTTATTAATATGATTTTGTGAAAATATTAAGAGCAAATGAATAAAGGAACATTTTTGATAACATTCTTTCTGTGGAAAGAGAAAAGTATGATTTATCGATAATTCCGATTAACATTAAATCCGTATTTTCGAAAATGACAATTTCAAATCTCTCGCGATTGTTATGCTGAAAGGAGTCATTCAAGAGGCCGCCTCAGTGCATATCAGGCCGCAATGTGGGAATGGCAACACTGCGACACTAAGAAAGAAATACCATCTGTTTAGAAAGAGTAAGAAAAGCCATATTTAACGACAAAGTTTCTCGGTGAATATAATGTGGGTTTCCATTGTTGTTTTTGTGTTGACGCCTTCAAGAATTATTATTTCACAAATACTATTACAAATTCCTAGATGTATTATTTAAATTATAGAGGATGAGAGATTTGAATCTTAATGTTGTTGTTTCACAAAATCTTACGTACTTTTTTTAAGTACAAAATCAAACTACTGTGTTTGGTCTTTTGTCAATGAACACAAGCGTTTATCATGAAATATTGTGTATACAATTACGATAGTATGTAAATGTACTTTTATTACAGTGTTTTATGTATTTTTTTACAATTTCCTGCTTTTTACACTCTTTGTGAGACATACATTAAATATAATTCTCGAATATGTTCAGGTTGTAATATTTTAGGCCTCTATCGATATAACATCTATAAATTATAAACTTGAGAAAACGTACCTAATTGAAAACGTTTGATGTCAAATATTTGCATGTTTATACTTCTGATGAACTTAATTCTATTCCATCGAGAACATATTTTAAATAATGAAAACTCGCTGGGTTTTTTTCACCGCATTATAATACTTTCTCTATTCTACGTAAGCAGTAGCGAGAAAGTAAAAGTGCTCATCCACGCACCTTCCGGGCTCCGCGCGTATTCCTCTCGCAGGTGCTGAGCCATCCGCTCCGCACAGTCCGAAATCAGCGGGAACATGGCCTTCATTTTGCTGGAGGTGAATGCGGGACTCAGCGTAGCTCTCATGTCCCTCCATGACTGGTCTAAAACACACAAAGGCACAATTACGTTCTAATTTTGGCGATACAAATAGGTACTGGTTATTCTGTTTATAAATGCTTGTTTATTACATGTTCATGGAGGTGAACTAATACGTCTTTTCAGTATAGAAAAATAGGACTTTCACAGAAAATGAGCCCTTCACCATTCTTTTAAGGTCCCTTGTGCTATCCAAAAATAAATTTAATGAAAAAATGGGATGCCCTTTTCTGAAAATTTTGGATATGTTCAAAAGGCTTCATGTAAAGTACCCCCAAAATTAAGTATCGGTTTCCAATTCAAAGGGCCGCGGGATCAGCCATATCGATCAGGAAATATCAATTTCGAAATAATCACTTGAAGGGTTTTGGCCCAAGCGTTGACCACAGACGGACTGACAAACGTTTTGCTGTCAATCGATTTTTCGCTGTCTTGGGCCCACAGAACATGGATTCTGGCTACTCGTGTTACATAAGGTAATGTATTGTATAGAGAGACAAGATTAATCCACTTATTCGTTACTAGGGTCCGGCAAAAGGAGTTTTTTAGCCGATAATTCGCAGTTTTTCCGCGCAGCATTACAATACTTTCTCTATACTGCGTAAGAATCATTCTTTCACTATCGAGAGACACTTTCTCCAATATCAAAACAAGCTGCAAAATTCAGTTTTAGTAGCAACACGTATATCTTTTGTAAAATATTTCACATTCGCTCGTGCAACCCATAAGTACGTCATACAAATCTGAATTAGGATTTCTTTACTACAACTAAACCTATGTGTTTCATAAGGAAATAAAACACCCATGTGCATTTATATACTTACTGAAAACCAATCAAATCTTGCTGCAGAATTACTTTTTTATTAATCTCATTTCTCTTACACAGGTTATACATTCACGTCTAGATGCAATTAAGATATATATCCAGTTTCTCTTCGTAAATACATGTGAAGAAACTGACTCAAGTCCTCACGTACTCAAATTTGAACCATGGAGCTATTAATACTCGGAGCTATATTCGTATCTCCATGACATGAACATTCCCGATAAGACAAACTGAATGTAAAATAAACAGCCTAAGTCCTGTTCATCTATGAACTCAATCGACGATATCAGTTGTTGACACTATCTGGTATCACGCGGTTTAACTGTTGCGTTAATGTATACCTGAAACTGATGTAATGCTAGGCAAAACGGTTTAGAAAAGTAACTTGTAAAAAGTAAATTGTTTATGGTTATAAATTATAGCCTATATACTGCAATCTTGAAAGGAAATTAACACAAAACTTTCATCGATATTCGTTAAATATTTTCCAATTTGCGAGATGTAACTCAATGAGATTCTCTCTCGACGTAATTGAATTAAAGTACAGATGATGCAAATCGAAAAAAATCGGAACTTTGTCAAAGTAACAATCACTCTAGCCTACTGTACGCATATATCCTTTCACCTGACCACAAACGCTTCATTGTACAAAAAGTTCCCTCTTTAAAAAAGGGAGAGTAAATTCAGGTATGCGCTGGTAAAATTCTATAGCCAATTAAAAATCACTCAACATCTTTAACCATTGTACATCAATGAAAAGAAAGAATCTTCGATTAATGAAAATTCAGATATTTACCAAAATATTGATGTAGGATACTATTATATTTAAGTCATTTATGTGCAATTCTTTGTATTGTTATTATGTGTGATGTATATTATAAACAAAAAGATAAGGATCAATGAAACAATCAATTATTTTAAAAGGGGTTAATGAGAGAAAAGTGTTGGGAATCCCTGCTCTGTCGTATATTCTTTATGTAGCACAGTGCGCCAGGAAAGTTTCTCCGCACTGTCACCATGCTAATGAGAGAGCTATCAAAAGAAACTATGTTGGTATCACGAGCACCGGGCAGCGCTCCAGCGACTGGTGAGCGGCGCAGAAGGGAGGCGAGGAAAGGGGAGGGCGGGGAGACGGCACGCATGTGACACTCTACTGCGATTTCCACACTCAATCTTCCGCGGCTCGAATCCATAAATTCGTCGCTGTCCGGGAGACGCCGGGTCGTCACTGCCCTGAGGAAGCCTGCGACATGTCAGGAGAAACGTCGACCTCACAACCAACGACGCGGCGTCTCCCAGATAGCCGAGAATTTATACTGCGATTTTTCCAACTCTGCCCCTGGCAGGTATCAGCTGTTAACTATTTCACCAAATCGGGAGCTTGAACGTCACTATTTTTTAAATATTGCTAATCTTGCGATTTTTAAAATTTATTTATTTAATTTATTTATGTTAAACATTTACTCAATCTTCAAATATTTATAGTTAAAATGACGGGAAGGGACTCTGGAACTCATTGCGCAGATAATATTTTCCTCCTACGTCAGAGTTTTTTGACAGAATAAATCTAAATCTAAATCTCAACCATAGTGACGTCACTATGGTGACATTCAAGCTCCCGATTGGATGAAACTGTCAACAGCTGATATCTGCTAGGGACAGAGTTAGAAAAATCGTAGTACAGTGCCTCGCAGGCGGCGAAGACGAGGGCGGAAGCGGCGGTGTCATTCCCTGACTCATGTCGGTGCGTAAAGGTTTTCCTGGCGCGCTGAACATCATACACTGCGTAAATAATAACTGCATGCTTACCGTGTAGATTCACCAAATTCTTACTGAAAACTGGATCTGACTTCTCTGTGTGAATGATACGATGATTCATGAAGGAATCAAATTCTTTCACCGCAACAAGTTTCATTATTTCTGGATCGCGAATCATAAACGAAGGCGTTGTAAATTCGAACATGCCGTACACGGGATGGCCTTCACCCTTTTTGTAACTTTCTTTGACGAGCTCTTGGAAGGATTGAATTCCAAGAAATGCGGATAAGTTGTCTCCGAGGAACGGCCATTTGGGTTTAGAGGACGCAATTCCACGTTTCGAAAAGTAGTCGTAGTTCCATGTTCCAACAATATACAGGAGCAGCAGTATTCCTAAGACGAGAAGGCTCCAGTCCACCAGAGAAGCACTCGACAGGGCAGTTACCACTGCGCGCCACATTCTGTGAAAATATCAGCAGACTTGTTAGGCATATTACAAGTGAAATATCAACATCAGTGATTGATTCATTGAATGTTTCCTGGCATATCAACTGCTATGGTCATTGGTCAGATTAATGCAGTGAATGCTTTTAGGCCTGAGATGGCTGTGTTTCTTTTTTAAAATGTGATTTATGACTGACTTTACATCGTCAGATTACATATTAACTATTTTTAATGTTTGATCCTAATCTATGTCATATTAACTTACACTAACTTAAAATTATACACATTACAAATATTTTAAAATTAATCTAGAAAAAATGACGCGGGGGAGAAACAAGAAAGTATCTCACATAGGTATTATTCCAGGTTTGAAAAAAAATGTAGACTGAATGAAGAGGAAATCTGTTAATAATTCTCGATTTATAATTGTTTTTCTACCTACTTTATAGTATATGCATGTTTTAGTGTATGAAATCGCAGTATATGTAAATTTATAATATGCGTGTACCGGAATAGGTTGGGGAAACGATTGTGTGTGAGGTAGGCTATTTAGTTTTATATTGTTCATTTTTAATTTATTATGCCGTTCATAGTTACTGATGAACTTTTTTTTTAAATCTTAAGAATTTATTTTGAATCACTAGCATCTTGTTTAGGCTGATCCTGGCAGGCATTGGTCTAAACATGGAGTCAGGTGGAGCATTGTTTTGTGGAGCAATTGTGCATTATATGAAGACAGTTGATAGTGTTGTTTCAGTTAGGGTCGCATTTCAATTAGTTTAGTTTGGGCTTGTTGAGTTTGTCTTTACATGTTGCTTTCAGTTGAGTCGAGTATCGAAGTTATTTATCGATTCATTTAATTGTATCCAATTGA